CTGCTGCTGCTGCTGCTGCTGCTGCTGCTGCTGCTGCTGCTGCTGCTGCTGCTGCTGCTGCTAGTGGTGCTGCTGCTACTGGTGCTGCTGGTGCTGCTGCTGGTACTGCTGCTGCTGCTGCTACTGCTACTGGTGCTGCTGGTGCTGGTGCTGGTGCTGCTGATGCTGCTGCTGCTGCTGATGCTGGTGCTGCTGCTGATGCTGCTGCTGCTGCCGATGCTGATGATGATCATGATCATGATGCTGCTGCTGCTGCTGCTGCTGCTGTTGCTGCTGCTGCTGCTGCTGCTTCTGCTGCAGTTGCTGCTGCTGTTCTCTCTTGCACTGCCTCCTCCCTTGTTTTCATTAGAACATAAAACCTAACTACCCAAACCCTAAACCCTAAACCCTAAACCCTAAACCCTAAACCCTAAACCCTTCTTTTTTTGTTGCAGCCTGGGAAGATAGGAGACTTCTTTTTAAATTTTTGTGGCCCCCTCCATCTTGTCTCTATCATTCCTTCTAGCCGCTACGACAGAAAACCCTAAACCCTAAACCCTAAACCCTAAACCCTAAACCCTAGACCCTTACCCCTGAATGCTAAACCCTAAACCAAAGACCCTTAACCGAGAAAACTAAACCCTAAACCCTAAACCCTAGACCACATATTCTAAACATAGCCCCCTCCAAGCCGTACATTCTATCCCCTAAACCCTAAACCCTAAACCCTAAACCCTAAACCCTAAACCCTGTACTGGTAGAATATATTGTTGGTTATATATTCGCTGCATAATAAACTATAAATATAAATATATAATATAATATTTTATTTTATTTTATTTTATTATAAAAATATAATAAATGAAATATAAATAAATAAAAGCAACAAAAAAAAGGGTTTGAGACAAGATATACACTCCACCCATCTAAATATAAATAAAAAAAAACACTGCACGCATGCATGCATGCATGCATGCATGCATGCATGCATGCAGTGTTTTTCTCCATGCAGCCCCGCTGTTTGCATGCATGCATGCACGCATGCATGCATGTATGCATGGATAGAAAAGAGAAGCATAGGTGCTGCTGCTGCAGCTGACAGCAGCAGCCCCTATGCTTTGGTGCTGCTGCTGCTGCAGCAGCTTCCTCTCTGTTTTTTTGCTGCTGCTGCTGCAGCAGCAGCAGCGGCAGCAACTCTGCTGTGTTGCTGCTGCTGCTGCTGCTGCTGCAGCAGCAGCAGCAGCAGCAAACTACTAACTCCTCCGCCCCCCTGGATTTTAAGGGGAGACAAAAGAAGACAAATAAAAAGAAAGACATATGCAAACCCTAAACCCTAAACCCTAAACCCTAAACCCTAATCAGGTAGTTCTTGAGGGTTTGTGAAGGCCTTGAAAGCGATATCCTGCAGCAGCAGCAGCAGCAGCAGCAGCAGCTGCTGCTGCTGCTGCTGCTGCAGCTGGTCTTTTTCTGCTGCTGTTGCTGCTCCTGCTGCTGCTACCGCTGCTCCTGCTGCTGCTTTTGCTGTTGCTGCTGCTCCTTCTCCTGCTGCTGCTGCTGCTACTCCTTCTCCAACTCCTGCTGCCGCTGCTGCTGCCGCAACAGCAGCAGCAGCAGCAGCACCACCACCACCACCACCAGCAGCACCACCACAACCACCACCACCAGCACCACCACCACCACCACCAGCACCAGCACCAGCAGCAGCACCACCACCACCAGCACCAGCAGCACCACCACCCGCATCACCAGCAGCCGCAGCAGCAGCAGCAGCAGCAGCAGCAGCAGCAGAACTACCGGGTCCATACACAGAAGTTATGTCCGCATGCAGCAACCTGAAAGCCCTCGCTTTGGGGCTGCCACTCCCCCCACCCCACCTTCACAGCAACACGCGCTGCATGCACAGCACCTGAGGGGTCTTGAGGGTTTATGTATGCTGCGTATAAACCCTTTTCGGCTCTGTTTCACAATACACACACACATGTAAACCCTAAACCCTAAACCCTAGACACTCGCTGCATGCACAGCACCTGAGGGGTCTTGAGGGTTTATGTATGCTGCGTATAAACCCTTTTCAGCTCTGTTTTACAAA